TGAATAATTTTATTTCACAGTAAAATATCTAAAACTATAGAATATAAAAATGCTTTCAATATTTACAAATTAAGATACATATCAGGTTACTATTGTTTTCACTGCTTTTACTATATTTTATTTCGATAACATTTTTTCAAATATATGACTTTTCATAAAATAAAATAAAATTTATGCAAAACTAATAAAATTTAAATTTAAAAAGAAGAGAGAGTGAATTAATTAAATCACTTTACAGGTCCATTAGCCCTTTTGTTATATTGCAAATAAATTAAATATTTTCACATCCTTTGCTTTAAAAATTATTATTATTTTATTTAAAAATATTTTTTCTGTTTGCTCAATGATATTTTTAAAATCATGCCAAAATACCAACATTTATGGTACATGCAGGAGCATATAAAGTGCAGCACGCTTTGTGGCACATATACAAAAGGCTCATTTCCGGTTGCCATTATCAGTGCGAGCATTTAAAAAAATTACTATAAAAGCTTTTTCATCAACATAACAAAATCGTTGCTATATGTGTAAATATGTTAGCATGTTGCTATACCGTAGACTACAGTTGGTTTTAACTACACGTATGAGTGCAGTATGTGATGCATGCCCGCGTGCAATGCGGAATTAAGGACGAATTGCATTTTGTTTAATGTGTTATGGCTTTCATATGAATGCACTGTGTTCACACTGAATGCGCTTTTATTTGTCAGCAGGAAAAAATCAAACCCAGCTATACCAAAAACTGTAACCCATTCAACTGAAACTGTGCTGATTACAAGTTGAAAGAAAAGCTGAAACAATTTTTGTTCTTCCCCATTTAAATCGCTGGGTGTGTGGTGATTTAATACAAAAGCAGGCATATAATTTAATTGAAATTCTAGTCACATTGGCAATTTCCGCCAGAAAGCATATAAAACACTATACCCTTATATGCAATTGCATTACAATTTAAATGCATTGCATGCAATTTTGCACTCTGAATGCTTTTACAATTATTTCTTTCATCTAAATTACGAATGCAAATGAGTCAAAATTGCTTAATGCTTTTATCAGTGCAGTCCGTGATGCTTACCATTAACATTTTAATAGAGGTATTATATTAAGAGAATCTATTATATGCAACTGTATACATGTAAAAGCACATAACTTCATAAACTAATTTATAATTAATTTATACTATATAATTAAATGACAACACTGAAATCAAATTCAGAGTTATTTAAATTAACTATTTTAATTCAATTAGAAGTAATCAAATTAAATTTCAACCAACTTATTCAATTTATTAAGTAATTAATTAAAGACGGGCATTTATAGCACAAAAATGTCACGCTGGCGACAATAATTATTTCTTTTTTACGATATTTAAACTGAACCTATGAGTATTTATATGCGCAACAATCATACAAAAATGTAAAACGTTTATTTAACTATGATGAATGAAATTATCATCATTAAATTTGTAACCAGCAGGGATTTAAGAAGGCAGTTCATATTGTGAATATGCCGTAAAACTAACCACAAGTGATGATGATAACTGGAAGATATAATAACCCACAAAAAATAGACGTCACCAGCTCTAAACACAAATTAAAAATAAGTTATTTGAATGGCTGTTATTTGAAATGTTAAGGTACTTTAGGCCATAAAACAAAGGACAATTATATTTAACTACTAACATTATTTATATTAAATTTTAGCTTTAGATGTAATTTCATGCTAAGTAGGCAGTTGAGAAATAAAGCCGTCTCCAACGTACTAAAATCAACCTCTATCTCTCTTATAATGCCTGTGCAGCTATATAGTGCAGAAGCTTGGACAATCGATAGAAGAAATCTTCACAAATGAAAGAAATCTTTATGTTTTGGGCTTTTTTTTATAAACTGAGGTAAGTTAGGGAACAAATCGGTATGTTAAAAAAAAATTTTATAATTCAATATTTTCAATTATTTTGTGCTGTTAACTAGCACTTGTCTTCATTTTAGCTCTCTATAGAATATTTTTTAAGCAATAATTGCTTGCAAACATAGAAGGAAGCGATTAGAAGGAAGCGACATAGAAGGAAGGACTCCTTTCCTTTCATTATATTTATTAATGTATTTTGTGCATATTATTCAAATCAAGTGTGAACAATTGTATATAGTGAGGAAGTATTTGATTGTCTTCAAATATTATATTGTACCATTTTGTGTCCAAGAAACTGTGCTTTCGCTCATACGTACTCGTATTTACTCCTATATGTTATTTATGCTGCTCTTGAAAGCTTAAATAAACGTCGAGTATGATTCCTTATTTCAGTAATAATTTAGTTAATTGTGGACGAAATTGATTGATTTTTACCTTATTTGAAAGCTTATATGTTAAAGAATAATATTAATTTGGTACAAATAGTCAGAGGTGAAAAATACACGAGATGGGAGCGAAGAAATTTGAAAAAAGTAAAAAAATGGCATTTTTCCGAAGTTTAAGGTCGATGAGCGACCTCTAAACATTATCCGATTAGTCTAAAACTTCACATTTAGTAGTTTTTTGAGTATTCGAATAAATTTAGGGGGTGGCATCTAGAATTTGAACACATTCGTAAATAACAGCCACCCTAGTGTATATAATTATAAACATTCGAAACCATATTTCAAACAAATTCCTTACAGGCTCAAAAGTTTGGGACGAAACCAATTAAAACCAGGACATAATTTATAATTAATAAATAAGAAATAATTTAGGTTCATTATTTAAAAAATAAAGATAGTGCATCATATTATGTACGAAACATAATTTGTTAGCTTTTCAATAAAATAAACAGTTTTTAGAAGGCAATATTTTATAATTCCGTACATCTTAATACACTTTTATATTCTTTAAATATATTAAAGTATTAACGAGCTTACTAAGGATTATATGAATTAATAAATCGTAAAAACTATTTAAACCTGATAAGAATTATAATAATAGTAATAAATTCTGTTTGAAAATATATTTTCAATTGAATATAATTTAAAATATTTTTGTATAACCCTTATGCGTTAAGATTGCATAACTCTTGTCTTCAGAATTTGAAAATAGTCAAATATACACCCCAATATATGATTACCAATCGATGTAACCCTCACTGTGACTGAGAGACCACTGAGAGACTACAAAATAAACGAATGATATAAATGTTGATCTATTATGCTCTTACTCTATTTATACTATTTATGAAATAAAAAATTTTGACAGATTATAGATCAATGTCACGTATAATATTTGTTATCGAATACCCTGATTTTAATGCAAAGTAACGATTAGCCGATCAAACTTGAGATAGACATAGCAACAGTTTTATATATGCATCTAAATGATATGGTTTAAAGGATCCCTTATTAAATCAAAATCAAAAGACTCAACTCACAAAAAATCAGCTCATGGAAACGTAACTGATGAGACAGGTCTGGCTAACATAAGAGAAATATATGAAGAAAATCTCGAGAAATGCTCTAACATACAATTTAACACAAAAACATACATAACTTTTTGTACTAATACTCTTTCAGCAATTAACCTGCATTTGCTTCAAACTCTATTTGTATATTTGAACTTATGTGACCCTAATTGAAAACCAAAAATAATTATATATAGGATGTTTATAAAATAAAGTGCATAATTTAAAATAGTATCGTTCTAAGGAATGCAAGAAATGTTCTTACTCGACGCATCATATTGGTTCAATCATACTATATGTTGGTTTTCATATCATCTTTACCACATGGGCTAAAATTTCTCTAACAAAATGTTAAGGTAAATTTTACTAGTATGTGCTTATAGCATATTTTTGTGGGTGTACATACCAAGATTACGGAACGACAATCTGTTTTCAAGGGTATGATTTAACAACTATAACTAGAGCATAAAGAACTACTAAGTAACAGTAGTCGAGTAAATCTTCAATGAATATGAAATCTTTGCAAAACTTTTTTTACAATTATTTTTGTTTTTCCTTTTGGAATATTTTTTTAGTATCTAATTTAAGACTTTTAATAGAATCAAAAAATGTCTTTATATTTTTAAATTTTTATCACAACTTTAGGCAGCATTTTTGAAACCATTAAAACACCTACTCAAATATTTAGTAGTATTCAAAATTCAATAAATATGACTGTGGAAAAATAAAAATATTCATAAAATTTAAGAAAAATTTAACGCCCCTAGCAGAATTACGCAGTCTTTTTAGTTGCGTATATATTAAGATAACTAGTGACTATGTGACTCTGAACATATATATATTTTGTGTATATGTTTGTATGAAACATAGTACCATGTATCTAATTTTAATATGTCGAGAACAAATACTTGTACATAAGCGTAACAAATTTGACATCTTCCATCAACAAATGATGATAATAACACTGATGGCAAACGCCGAATCTTACTTCGCATATTTCACAATTTACAGCGCAAATGTGCCGGAAAGTAGACAAAGGACCCAACGTACGTGGATGAGTGAACTTAATGTAAGTGCAGAATTTAAGATGTCAAATATAATTAGAATAAATACTGGGTGCCGGCTGTATTTTACATAAAATGTAAACGTTAAAAAAAATAAACAAATAAAAAAATTAAAATTAAAACGATGTTTAAATGTAAAAAAAGGTAAAAATTTTGGAGAATCAGAAAATTTTTATTAAAATGAAATTGTGTCTTTAATTTTAAATTAAATAAATTATTAATTAAATTTTTCTTATAGGTAATTAAAAATTTATATTAGTAAATATACACTTTTTATAATAGGAAAAGTTAAATTAGCTGGCATTTATTTTTTTCTCCCTGTTATTTTTATGAGAATATCAAATCAAATAAAAATTTTCCAATATTCTCTCACTGTCGCTATATTTATAAACCATCACTTTTAGAATATATACTTATACATACATATATCTACGTGCAAAAGCATTAAAAATTTATTCCACATTCTTTTTGTCTATCTCGACTTAATGAAAAACACAAAAATTCACTTTACTTACTTTTAAGCAAATCCGCCAGCGTCTTGAGGCTGTTTATCTGCACTGCGTGTATCCGTTAATGAAGTTTCCTGCCTTCGAGCAGTTGAATGGATGTATAGTCTATTTCTGTCGTATTAGCGTGTCCGCAAACTTAGCAGTGTTTTATTTTCACCTTTTTTTTATTAAAATAATTTAATTGTAGTGTGAGTAGACGAAATATGCTTCATCCGCCCCGAACAAGCGTATGCACTGTGTAAAGTTTATGTTTTTGTTTAAAAGATGAACCGGCGAAAAATAAGAAATTACGTTAAAGAATTTACAAGAACTAAGCACCCTTTCACCGTAAATTTCAACCTTCCTTCATTTATGGTATGTCCTTACTTAATTTTCAACGCACTTTTAATGTAACGGCTCCGGTTTCTTAATGTAGCCGCAAGTTAGCTACCAAATAATGGCTAAAGAGAGCTCAACATGAAAAAAAAGACTGAAAAATGGACGACTGATGTCTGTACAGCTCATTGACAGTAACAACAGTAATGTAAAAAAGAATATATAAAAGAAAAAGAAAAGAGAAAGTAAAATTAGTAGAAAAAAAGTACAGGCAGGTGTGAAAATAATAAGAATAACGAAGAAAAAGTTGTCTTTACTTTTCATATTATCCTTGGTAGTTGTTGTATCTGTTCTTTATTTTTATCTTTATTTGCTGCTTTTAACTTTATTTTCTCCCCTGCCAGTGTCAATGACAACGGCAAACGTTTTACAGCATGTTCTTTTAGCAGTATTTGTCGCATGTCCTTCCAAATAAATAAAGCCTTACTGACTGTGTGATTTACTCAAACAATTTTCTTACTTAACAAATCCTATCAAAAACAAGTATGAAGTAGTAAAGTCTTAAATAGACAACTAGTATTTCCTTTAAAGTTTAAAATTTAAAAGGAATAAGAAAATTATTTGATTATATTCTATAAAATAAATTGAAAAAAAAAACTGATTATTTCACGGGTAGCTTCAAATACTATGATAACATAGACTACATCGCTATTAGATCACATTTTTATCAAATTAAGTTCATTAGCAAATTTATTTAGAATTTTCTTGCTATATATGTAAGAAGTGCATAAGATTGGTCCTAAAGTGAAAGTGAATATATTTAAAATTCTCCTAATATACTGTGAATACAACATATAAGACAGGTGCTGAAGCAAAAGTGAATAGCACTTACATTTAGAATTCCCTTTTCACACATGTGAATACAATATATAAAGCAGATCCTGGAGAAAAAAGATGAGAGAGAGTGTATTCAGAATTCTCTTACAGTACTTTTCACACAACTCGTTCTCGATGCTGCGAAGAAACTTATTGAATACTAATTTGTTTATTATACTAGACAAGTCCCAAGTGATTGCGAACATATTTAGAATTACATTACCATACATGCAACACAGCACCCGGACAAAAAGTGATTGTACACTAATTTGTCTATTATGTATATTCTTTCACTTTTAGCTTTTTTTCTTTCACTTCTTAAATAAATAAAATGTAAATAAAATGTAGTTGGTACAGTTTTCATGCAGTGAAAGACATCAGTGATTAATAAGTACTTTTCAGAAACACAAGAAAACAAATCTGTATGGTACTAAACGCAAATTTGTCTATAACTTTCGATTACTCAGTATACCAGTTTTTGAACGAAACGATTTAACTTTTAGCAAATAGTTTAAGCAGATTAAATTCATTACAGAGTATCATGTTTATTGAGTTCACGATTTTTTTTGTGTATTGGTGGCACTGCAAGTTATATGCGGGTTGGTAATTATTCAGTTGCGATACTACTTTCGTACACTCAGAAAAATATGTTCTAACCACATACTAGTTAAATATATCTGATCATTTTGTTAGAAAACTTTAAGCTCATGTGGTAAAGTAGATATGAAATCTAACATATAGTATGGTTAAACCAATATGGTGAGTCAATATGATGTGTATTTTGACTTGAGATTTAGTTAAAATGTGATTAAATCAACCAAATTATTTTTCTGAGGGTATTGCCAAAAAAAAGAGTTAGACATACATTAGTGTATTTGACCATTTTTCGTGTAACAAAATAAATAAAAGTTTTTATGAAATTTTGTGTTAAAAATAGAACTAGATGCTGATATTAATGTAGTGATATTAAGTCTGGAACTCATCTCACATCCATAAATAATAAAATTTATAAGAAATTGAACAAATTTTGCTAATAGATAACTTAGCATTGAGTAAGTAAACAGTTAATAAAGACTAACATTTTTTGAAAATGAAAGACGTGGCAGTACATTTCTTTCCAAAAAATAGTTGGTGATGAAACATAACATCTCGCAATCGCTTTTCTGTTGATATTTTTTCATGTCTTGGACGTCAAGTCACAGAACAAACTATATATATATATATATATGTATGTATGTATGTATGTTTGTATGTATGTAATATGTACGATACAAGTAAATGCATTTCAGAAATGCCAGAAAAGTTATTTGGAGTACTTCAGTTTTGTTTGTAATTTGACGTCTTTCTATTACCAAAATTTTAGTGCTTTCAAAAAACATAAAAAGCATGATGCAGCATTTAATTAAATTTGCGTTATGGAATCATCTATATATATATAAAGATATAAGAACAGCTTTCGTTTAGTTAAGTTAATAAAGATTAGTGTCGTATGACGGGAGGATAACACTTCCTCCCGTATCTGAAGTTCGAACAAAATTTCGAAAGAAAGGCAAACAAACAAATTAAGCAAGGCCTGGGCGCAGGTTAACGAATAGACCTGCGTCCACTCTTACTTGAATAGGCGAGACGTGTCAGTTTTTTTTTTTTGTCAGTTACTTCACATCTTCATGGTTACAAAAAATAGAGTAGAAAAAATAGGTAGAATTTTATACCAATCACACGACTAGAATTCCAAAGAATATTTAATTAAGTTTACAATTTGTAATAACTTTGATTTAATTTATAAACAAACATTTTTGTTTTTTAAACTTTTCTTCCCAATTTTTTCTCTATGAACAGAAATTTTATCTGTTATAATTTTTTGGCAAGCTTAAATAGTAAAATATTTTTTGAATACTATTATAAAAATTGGATAAGATCTGTAGAAAATAAGTACAATTTAGATAAATTAAGTTAGTTTCCCAACTACAATGTTCGCTTTTGTTTCTGTTTTTTTTTTTCCTAGAGTGATATTATTTTTATATTTTCTTCACATTTGTGAATATAAAGCAAATTAACTTCAACAAACGCTTTGCAACGCGATGAAGAAAGCATCGCGTGTTTAGTAAAGCATCAAGAATTGACACGACAATGTCTTTTAGTTTGACAATCTGTCTGTCTATTTGACTTTTTGTCTACTCATATGTGCACTAGTCTTAAAGTCATTGAACTAATTAATTGATACAATGGAAAAGGACTGTTGTGTTATCTGAAAGTCTAATATGTATATATCGAATCAATGATTTATAATATAAAGTCTTCCAATGAAAGTAAAGCCAAATCAATAATTGTTCCTGTTTTATAATTACAACGAAAAGAAATAGTAAAAATGAGTTATTTTAACTACTTTGCAGTTTCTTTAAACGTATATAGAATATAACACATATGATTTACTATATGAAAGAGTTTACACTTGTTTCCTCAATCTTATTCAACAATTTAATTATCAAAAGCAGAAGAAAAATTTATATATATTTACATAGCACATATGTTCTTAATTAAAATAGTAATACTTAATACAGAACTTGATATATATTCCATATTCATACATATTATATCATAAAACTTCCATCGTACCTTTTAGAATATCTTAGCACCTTATAGTACGATCCGTTTTGAGCAATAGCCATCATTCTAATACAATGAACCTAAAAACTTTATTCAGAGTATAACTAAAATTTTGTAGGAAAATTCATATATCAACATTTATTAAAATTCAGTTTAGTTAACTTGTATATAATAGTGACTCAAATGTGAGGTGAAAAACTATAACAAAAACACTTATAATACTTATAATATAATAAGGCACTTATAATACTATTCAGTTATGAATAAATAAATTAGTTCGATAGCGCATAGAAGAAAGCTTCGATAGAAATTATGATATGCTAAATAGTCAAATTAATACACCATTAAGATAATGATATAAACACAATGGACTTGATTTGATTTTTTTCTAACATATTTCTCAGCTGTCTTATTACATTGTGAAATAAAACTGTTTTCTAGTGTATTTAGCATAAATTAACTAAATTTTCAATGATTAAAATCACATATATAGTTCAAATTAATAAATAATACTAGAACACACTATTATCGTACAGAATAAATGGATTGTAATGGTTGAAATTTAGAAATATATGAATATGATTGACTTCAGTTTATTATTAAATACTTATCAAATTTTCAAAAATACTAAGTATAATATTAAATCATGGATTAAAAAAAAATCCGTAGCAATTTTACTTTTACTCTCACATCTTTACTGCATAATTGGATATATTATTTGGTCCGATCACCTATTTATTTAATCATGATATCTGAGGAGATATATGCCATCATATAAATATGATAGTATGATAATTAGTTCTTATAAGTTAATCTGCATAAAATAATATATGTTATGTCTAAAATAAATTATAAATTATAAGTTTTTTCATATAACACATAATTTTATAACGAAAAATTCTATAATTGGGTGATTTATTTCTAAGTTTTATACATATAATATTATAACTCATCAATCAGTTAATGCATTGAAAAGAGAAAAAAAAAATTATATTTGTAAAGGCATTCATTGGCTATAAATTTAAATCATATGTACTATATTTTAAAAATATGTAAGGATTTAATAATGTTTTCATAAAAACCTGACCTTTACGGAATCATAAGAAATTGCTCCAGGCCACCTTATAAATATATATTTAGGTGTAGAAGACAAATGATAACTAAAAAGAGAATAAAAAAAATAGAAAAATGCATTATAAAAAAATTAAATAATAATTCAATAATAAATAAATAAATAAAATATGTAAACAAAGCATCTATGTTTTTACTTCTAAAGCACAGTTAATAACAGGCTTCCAAATTTTTTTTTTGGTGATTTTAATGGAAGCTAATGAATTTTTTTTAGTAAAAAAAACACTATTCTATTCCAAATAGTTATGTACTACATAGCGTATGATTAACTTTTCTTACATGATTCGTTATTCAGAATATAAATTTATAAAATAAATAAACTTTACAAGCAATTATTAAAATTTTTAAATTTCAAATTTGAAAAAATATATTCATTTAATAATATGACATACTTCGGCATCCATTTTATTGGACGCATAACCTAATACAAATATATTGAAGCAAAAAAATGTAATCATAACCACAATCTTTCTAACTAATGTGGCTTATAAGATCCTAGACCACTACTACATTCAAAGTATATAGTCCTCACAGCGATCTTC